TGCTACCCCTGGCACTGGCATCTCTCCCTGCTGCTCCAGTAGCCGAAGGGCCCAGAGAGGTGGCCCTCCTTGCCCTCTCTGCTTCCAGGGTGACAACTGTGTCACACCCTCTTCAAGCGGCTGCCCACACTATGTGGTCCCACAGTTTGTGACAGGGCCACTGGTGGTCCCCTGCCCCTGCAGTGTTGTGCCCAGGGGACAAGCGGTGGTTCAGCCAGGGTAGTGCCAGGACAGTAAGGTTTCTGGTCCCATGGCTTCACGCTTGGGTCACCTCTCTTTCATGGCATTACACGTCACAGTGGCTGCTCCAGCCTAACACCACAGCCACGGCATGTGTCTCCCACGAGGCAGCAGCAGGCAAAAGGAGGTGAGACTACCACGTCCCCAGAGCAGCCTCCAAGGGGGGCAGTTTTCTCCCTCCTACCTTCACTGCACACTGAAGATCTCAGGGCTGGGACACATTCAGCAGCCTGCAGGTACCCTCACAGCACCTGCACCAGCAGCAGCAGGCCCAGGTCATCCAAAATGTCATTCCAGAGGTGGCCTGCGACCAAGCACACTCCTGGGACTAGCACCCACTAAAGTGACCTTCACCGAGACACACTCTGAACCCAGCAGGGAAATCACATCTGGCCTTGGGAACACCTAAGCAGGAAAAGGTAGGGTCCTGTGGCTTCCTGGTGTCCCCTGCCCAGACAGCCCTCTTGAGTTAGAAAAGATTTGTTATGGTGTAGCAGATAAGGTCATGAGATTCAGCGCCGCGCTTGCACAGCAGACTGTGTGTAACTCTTTACATGTGTTAATTACAGGCTCTAGAGGGCAAAGGCAACAATAAAGTTACAAGACTGTTCCACCAGTCCCCTCCATGCCAGCTCTTCCCTGAACTCTTCACCTCTGGCTTAATTCTACCATATTTTCTGCCCTTTGAGTACCATTCACCTACAGTCAGGCATTTCTCTCCTTTTCAACTCTTCCTCTTGGCTCCCTCCCACTTGAGGACCAAGACTTCCTGTTTTCAGATGGCAAATGCTATCTGTGCCTCCATACACCATCACCAAGACCCTCTCATTAACATCAGACAACTCTTTTGGCTGCATATGGGGAAAAACTCGGATGGCTGGGCTTTCTTGGACGTATGACATGAGGCCACACTACCACCACAGCTAGGATGAAGAATTGTAACTGCTCTAAGCACAGACACAGAGCTTTGGGGTGAGGTGATAAGGAAAGGAGATCCCTGAGACCTGCTAGGCAATTTATAAGGTAGAACCCAGTGGACTTGGTTGTTTTTCTGGGAAATATATTATTTCTTCTTTTTAAAATCTCAGCTCTCTGAGTCACAATCACTATGTTTATTTAGGAAAGCAGTGTCATTTTAAGTGAAATGTGAAAATGTTAAGTGTAAACATTTAAAAATCAGAAGATAATTGAGATAAGAATCCAGTGCTACTTTTTAATAAACTCTTTTTAGGTGACTCGTAATTTGGGAGCTGGATGGGGAAAAAGGTGGAAGATACTGACTCACAGTATTTGACTGCCTGTGTTTGACAATGAAACTCTGTCCACAAGAGCAGTTTATGAATGGTTGCACACACTTGTTATTTCTACAATCAGACGTAAACAAAAATATTTTTGTTGCACAACCAATATTTAAAATAATAGCTGGCATCAATCTGTTCTAAACACGATACATGGATTAGAGACCTCCTCCTTCTGGCTGCATAGACTAACCCTCTACCCTGTAATTGCATGCTGAGGAAGAGTCATGTACATATCTGTGCTTAGGAGGTTTCGCACCTGCAAAAATATCTTCAGAAAATTGTGCCTATTTACAGCCTAACACTGCACAACTGATAGAAGCAAGCCCAGGATCTACCCACAGCTCCACCCTTAAGCTGATGTATTCATCTCATTAATAAATAAAAGTAAAGCTATTTTCCTCTAAAGCTGGTGACCCAACAGCACATAAACCAACAAAGGTCCCAACCCAGCCATGCTAACAGGATACCGACCCTTGCCAACTTTCCCCAAAAGGCTGTGCTTGGAGCTGGCTCCCCAGCTTGATCACATATCTACTCTACAATTAGACCCATTTTCGTTAGCAAACTCAGCTTCCTGCATCATCCAAGGCTCTTCTTTGAACATTGCATAACTGATTAGACACAGAGATAACATTTGTTGAAAAGGCAGTGCTCCCAGTGTATCAAGCAATCTGCTGAAGAGAGAAAGACCACATTTCTGCAGTCTCCTCTCTAGACCTGAGCAAAGCTCCAGCTTAGCCTGGGTGGGTACAGCTGCTTTGTGACAAATTCCATCCTTCCACCCTTACTCAAATAAGCCCCATGCTTCATACTGGTGAGGCAGCAGGGCCAGCTGGCAAGGGGAGAAAAAACGAAGTGAGAGCACCTGTGGCACCTTGCAGTGTGTGAGGAGCAAATTTCATTGCTCTGTGAAACACATAAAATGTGTTTGCAATTATTAGAGTCTGCAGAATGAGGTATTTCAGTTTTCGGACTCATCTTTTGAAAGTCTGTTGTAGATTTCCATTAGGAAGACTAGGGGAAGCTATAGATTAGGTGGTTGTTCAGCATTCCTGGAGACAGTACTGGTCCTGATTGCTTTTATTACCTGCTCCCTTGTGTTTGTTGGCCTGGCTCTTCTCCAGACCCACAGCTTGCTGGCTCAGGAGATGAAGGCTGTAAAAAAGCTGCTTTGTCTGTTCTGTGGTATTAAATGGCCTATTCAGTTAAGGTCCTTGACTAGCTCACACTGGAGTCTGCGCCAGTGCCAGGGCAGTAGATGCTCCTCCAGAGGCAGCTGAGTTGTGCCCCAAACAGCACCAGCGGGATCCCCCCACAGGGGCTGAGCTGCTCCTTGGGTTGCCTCTGCCAAGGACTCCATTTGTTCCTCCTCTATGCTCCTCACCACCCATCCCATCCCTGGTGCTATCTTCCAGCTCCATCAGCATACAGAGCTTGTTAGCCCAGAGGAAAACTAATTAGGAAAAAAAAGTGGGTGGCTATCTTCTTGGGTAATGAGCCAGATAAATTAATGGAAGGAAAGGCCAGCCACAAAATGAAGGGGATAGGGGATAAAAGCACCTTTCAGAGGCAAAAGGCTGTTAGAGCAACTCAACTGCTTAAAGAAATTCAGCCTCAGGCTTTCTTTAGAATCACAATGTGGAGGAAATGTTCAGCCTCAGGGGATGTCAGATGACTTTGCAGAGGACTTGGAGATTATTTGCTCAAGTGTGCACTTCTCTGTTGGCCTCTCTCCCTACTCTCCCGACATAGAGCTGTGAGGGTCATCCAATGGGCTATTGAAAGCACAAGAGGCGTTGTAGAGGGGGATCTGTTTATGACAAAATCTAACATATTCAGGGTAATTACAGAAAAAGAGGAAGAACTTGACACTATTAATTACGCGGTGCAGTGATAGCTGAATTTGAGCTGCCTGAACTGCACTGAGCACAGCACTAGGTGAAGAGTGCTATATACTCTTTGCTTGCTTGTTAATTTGTGATACAGCTAATCCATTGAGATTAATCCACTGAATTAGAGTGCATAAAGCTATAAACGCCTATGGATTCACATATTGAAAGGAAACAAGACGAATCACCCAAAAGAAATACATGTGTAAGGTAAAACTCTGTGAGGCAATCCTGGCAGAAAGTGTTTCCGTCAGAATTTCCTCCTGAGACTTCCCTGCATGAGGAAAAAATTTTCCTGCTTTGGAGGTACATATGCAGTGGAAACACTCTACAGTACAACTCATCACAACTTAGTGAACTAAAATGATAGTAACAATTACTCCATTTTAAGTTTCATATGAAAGCAAAAATAGATTTCAGTGCAGACACCTATAACAATTCCTCTCTACCTCCAGCGCACACTAGTATGTCCAGTCCTGAAAACAGTTCTGCTTCCTGCCCCACTGCAGTACTCCCACCTCATGCCATGCATAGATGGTCACCCTCCAGACTCCCTACCTCCCCTTGAGGACTCTGAGTACTGGTCCCTATTTGAAACATGGATATGAATGTTTTACCCATACTGCAGCAGTGTTAGGAGAATAAGGTACATTTGGAGAGTGTTTGGTTTCTGCAGCATCAGTACTCAAAATCAGAAATGCTCTGCTCATATCTGCATGTGCAACACTTGCAGTAGCAAACACCCGTATTGACATCAGTTGCAGGGGTGGCTCCCAATTTGTTATGAGTCATATCCACATGTAGTCATATCCACATGTCTCCACTTGATTCTAAATGCTGCATGCTCTCATGTCTGCAACTCTACCACACCTCAACCCTGCACCTTATTCCATCCCATTCATGTGATTCTCCCATGTGATGGGCCTGAAATGCAGGTTCTGTTTTGGCTGGACTCCTGCATTTTGTGCTGTTCAAAAAGTTACAGGAGCCAGAGACCTGGTCACAAACATGCCTGGGATTCCGCAGAGCTGGCAGCTCCCTTATCTGCTTGGCATGATGTGGGCAAAAGCAGCCACTATATATCAGCTTGCATTCCACTGGTGAAATGACTGCACTTAGGTTATGTCCTAGTGAATGATTAAGGCACCCTTAGGAAACTAGTTCTAAGCAGCTATTCACTCAGCATGTGACTTTATTGAATCTCGTTTCGAGGTTCTATGCAGAATGCTAGGAACCTGATTTTCCAACCCAAGTCTTTGGATGACAGACTAAAAAGGGAATACACATTTCATACGGGGGTGAGGGATCGGCGGGGGGAAGATAGAAAACCAAAAAAAAGCCCTGAAGAGCATTGTTTCCTAGCAGCTCCTCCTCATCCCAGCCTGTACCTAAAGGGCCTTCACACAGCACAGAAGGAAGCTGTGAACAGCTTTGTAACACTAATCCCCATCCCACTCTCATTTCTCTCTTCTGTCTAGCCTTTCCTTCACCCCAACCTTTTCCACCTCAG